TTGCCGTTACGTAAGATCAGATGTAGGAAATACGTGACGTTTGTAAAAAAAACATTTAGCCGTGTTCAATCCAGATTTACCACTTTCGCCGTCCACTTTTCTTTTCCGTACGATTCTAAACAAGATCAGTGTTCGTTATTTGTGTATAAAATGTAACTTTTGGTTAACTGATTTTTTTTTTAATAAATATGATTAACGTGAGAAGTAGGATCTAGTTTCGAGCCTCATTTTCCATTGTAAGTATGACATAGTAGTTTTTGCATAGAGCAAAGATAGCAGATAACAAGCTACAGTTCACCTTGAGTGTGGAATGCCGACTGCGAATGTTTAGCCGCGTTTAATTTTACCATAACAATGGTGTACAATACATAAATCAGATTTATGACGGCAAATTACGTAGGTCTAATATGTCACGGTGTTGCAATATACATCGTGGTAAAAATCAATGGTATAGTCCAAGCAAAAAAAATAATAGAAATCTAACACATAAATCAAAATAACTAAGTTTTTACTTAACGGTTCTCTTGTTTTTAATTTTTATACATTAAATCTATTTTATGTGTAACTAAGTTTTGATAGATTCAAATGTCACAAACAAGGAAGCATATTAATAAAAAATGACATGCAGACAGACAGATGTTATTTCGAATTTTACTGATTTTAAAATTACGAAACAGATTGCAACGTATGCGGCAAGTCTAGCTTAAGATAATATTGCAAAATCAATTCTAATCACTTTATAATAGTGATATATTTATGTATCGTAAGACTCGGGCAAGGACTACGCAACCTATTCTAAATAATATTAGATCAAGCAAAAACAATTCGCTCAAATTATCACCTACATCTAATATTTTTCGGCCAAATTATTCATGAGTTTTCCAGATGATTCTTTATAATTTATAATAGTTTAGTATATTATATAACACCAATTACATCTAGACATTTTGATAAATGAAACAAAACATTATCTCTGCCAGAGTTATGGCGAGCGCAAAGTCTTGTGAATGGAGAATTAATCATATCTTTTCACTTTAATTTTGAATAATAAATTGAAATATGATAGTTCCGGAAACTTTAACATGATGTTAAGATCGCGTATATCTTTGACTGAACTATCACAACTGTTTAGTCACATTTTGAGTTCCATGAACTTACGTTGCGCACACTACTCGATTTTTAGTTGTGAAAATAAACAGTTGAATTTGCTGCGAACAATCGCACAACATCATCATCCACTTGCCCTTATCCCTTATGGAGGGTCGGCACAGTATGTGCTGCTCTTCCATACATCTCTATCAGCCGTCATATCTGAATCCACTCCTTTCTTAAGCATATCTTCCTTCACACAATCCATCCATACTTTCTTCGGTCTTCCTCTTCCTTTGTAGCCATCCACATTCAATCTCAACACTTTCTGGTTTATGTCCCCATCATTTCGTCGCATAACATGTCCATACCACGCTAACCTTTTGCTTCTCAATTTCTCCACCACTGGCGCTACTTTCAAACTTCCTCTAATGTACACATTCTTAACTTTATCCAATCTTGTCACACCACACATCCATCTTAACATACGCATCTCAGCCACATGCAATCTCCTTTTATCGCGCAACTGTTGTGCGAACAATCGCATATAATTATGCCCGCTCATTTACTACACGCCTACAAACTAGTTTACATCACAAATACTTCAAGAAATTAATAGACTATATATGATTTTTTTTTAATATTTAACATTTAATTGTAATACTTAAAACTGCGTAAGGTCACCTCTATAGAATATACCACTTTATAACAACTACATATATGCTTAAAAAAACTAATCATATACCGTATGAGGTTTGATAATTTGAAAAATACAACCCACACGCACCTTACTGTGGTCATAATGTTTGAATTTGAAAAATCAAAGTGTCAATATGTCCGCCCACTTTATCTACATGTAATATTAACATAGTGCATTATCGAATCAAGCTTTATTGGACCGTAAGACCCGACACTCACTCACCTTGGTGCTTGAGCATTCCAATGTACAGGAAATTATGTACCGTTCGAAGTAATTCATATATAACACACATAAAAAAAATCGACTAATTGAGTACCTCCTTCTTTTGGGAAGTCGGTCAAAAATAGTACGAATTTACTGCACTAGAGTCGCTACATAAACACTAAGGGAGACTTAAAGATTCTGAGTACGGCAGTTGTACTTAGATTTATTTGAAAAAAATCTTTCAGATCTATTTAAAAATTGTGTATCTGTCTGAAATAATAGACTTCAAATGAACATTGTAATGATATTGAGATATTTAATTAAAATAAAAGATTTTTTTCTTGGTATTTAATTAAAAATTATGTTCGCAAAATATCAGATTGGAAAAAGGAGACCGTGAACTTTCAAATAAGGCAACGAACAATTTGATTGGACTATTATAGCAGCGGCTTCCGAATACCGCCTTTAAGTTGCTAAAACCTTTAATAAAAGTTTTATAAAAATATATTATTATTTTTAAACGTAATACACTAAAGGATTAACCATTAATATGCTTTTATAGACAGTTAATTCATACAAATTGTATGGAACAGGAATATAGCGGAGTAAATCTAAGTATTTATTCTATTCCAGACTTCAACCTCTGTGGCAATTTACATCCCAATTCGTTTAATGTTTTGTAAAAAATTTAAAAAAAAAGAACACTTTCTTCAAGTCGGATGATATATCGATAGAGGATAAACTTCCGTATTTAAGACTGGCTGTAGCTCGAGTCTTGAACGTGAAATTAAAAAATAATAAAACATATTCGCCCGCGTGGAATTAAAAAAATAATGAAAAATGTAGCCTATGTTACTCACTGATAATGTACCTTTTTAATAGTGAACGAATTTTTAAAACGGCCTAGTTTTGAGTTATTTCATTACATATAAAATTCAATTCTTTCCTCTTTAGTTAATGTAGATACAAGAATACTGACAACATTTTGTCAAAGGTATTTTTCTAGAGAAAACGCACAATATTGAAAATCAACCGGATCTATTAGTGCTTGAGGTACACGACGTAATTACGAGTGTGGCGAAGCGACGAGTAGTCACGGATATTGCGCCAGGACCCCATGGTTTGTATGCTTTCACATGACACCATAAAAGTTAGGGAAATCAAACGCTATCTTGTATGCAAATATAATAGTTTTCTATCAGGAAGAAGATTCCTTATTTTCTTAATTTTAATGCTGATGTAACTATTCGTTAGGATAATAAAATTAAATTGTTACGATAATATCTGTGTAATCACGCTTGTTAACTTCAATAAGGGTTTGAGGTTAGAATTCTGAAACTTTATATTTTTCATATTAAGTTTCATCTTAATACTTACGTAATGATTTTAATTATTGTTATTTTCAACAATTTCGTAGTTAAAGGTAAGGCCTAACTATAGTTGTGAAACACGTGTTTAACAACGCGGCAGTCACGTTACAAACGATCGCATGTTTGAATGGTATGAAAGTACGTCTACGTCTTGACATTACTTTCGTGAATAGTGTTGTGCACCATATTTAATACATATCGATATAAACGTATATAAACCATGAAAAATTCCAAACGAAGAGCATAATTAACCCACATGAAGTTCATAGTAAAAAAATCTGGTAGGAAAGAAATTTTAATTTAAAGCTTTGCAATAAACGTGCTAGCAATATTATTTTGTCTCTAATAAATTAATTACCATTAGGTGAAAATTCATGTTTTAACAACACTATTATTAACAAACAGTAAACACGTCCTAACCGATAGGTGGTCGCGGAGTAGAAGGAATACTAATGCAATTATAGTTTAAAAATATCCATAAAAGACAGTTCACAGCACAACCCTAATGACCCTAACATCGCCAGCACGTGTGCCATTATCTTAATGTGCAGCTAGTAGCTTGTTGGTGTATACTTTCTAAGACATAAGCAGGCTTTTTGCTGCCGCCTTTTCTGTAACTACACCATCGTTAGTAATGTTCCTATAATGTTTCCACATTATTAATACATGCGATATTATAGAACATGAATTTGTAAGTTCTGTTTAGTTATTATTTTAAAACATGGTAGTAATAAAGAGTTTTTAATTTTAATGTCAAATTGTTTTTGTGTTTACGCCCTAAATAGTTACGTAAAATAAAAATATATTTTGAAGAAAAACAAAAGCCAAATATTAATAAAACAAAATTCTACACGTCTTTCTTTGTTTGTGCACAGAATAATAAAAAGGTTGGCGTTAAAATGCGTATCACGTAGATAGTACGCTTCCTGCATACTGATGGGTTAAGGAAAGTTGTCTATTGACACCGCAATGGATAGTTAACATTGACTTTGGTGCAGTGACAGTGTTTTATTGTTAACCTTCATGGTATCTAATTAGAAATACATTTCGTAATGTAAGACAATTTGCGGCGTGTCGCATTATATTAAGAAATCAAGGTAAATATCGAACTAATTGAAATATTTTAATGATTTATCTGTATAAAAACACACAAATTATTATCGAATTTCAATCTATACTATCTACAATAAAGCATAAACACACAATCTTTAGTTATGGAGGATGCTAGCAATCACAGTATATTTTTTAAATAATTGCTTTTTTTATAAAAAGCCCTACACTTACAATACTCTTTAGGCTATATATTTTCACGCTATTAAACTTTCAGCGTAGATAATTTGAAAAAAAAAACAGTTATGCGGAAAAGTGACAAAAACTACATCAAGTAAGCGAGGTTGCCATGGTAACGGTTATTGTTATCCAATGTCAAAGGTCTTATTGTCATTTGGATTTTGACATTGGCAATCGAAAATTTCACAAAAGTAAACAATAAAATAAAGCTTTTATAATTTCACGCGGATGCCGCACGGATTTAGCTCGGAGTAATGTTGCTCGGAGTAGTTTGCGATAACCATAGTTAAATCCCATTTTGTATAATTGTGTTGATCTAAGAAACAATATGTCTGAAAGTAATTAACCTGTTGTGTGGCGGGCGGCGGGGCGGCGCTCTGCGGGGGCACGGACTGCACGGGGCGCGCGGGGCGGGCCGCGGCGCGCTGCAGCGACGCGCGCTTCACCGACACCATCAGCCACACGTCCTCCACGCGCTGCGCCACCTGCACCACACCCACTACACTGGAATACTGGCACTGATCGTGTCTTCTCATACTTATTAGGGGGAGAATGACTGACAAAGAAATGGACGAAATAACTTGTGGGAAGTCAAGAAGGTGCGTAGCCGAAACCGGCCAAACCGCGCGCCGCTCACGCGATATATTCCGTATGACTCGATGGGCTGTTGGTCCATGGGTATTGGACTGGAATACTGGGAAACTGATACACCACAGAACAAGGCTTTTAACCGCAACTAAGTGAAGTCATTAGATCGAAGACCCTTGCACTCCAATATGGATGAGGGGGTTTTAGCGAGTCAAGTTTCTTAAACCGGTTTTTTCCAAAAGACAGTATCTTTGAAAATATCTCTTAGATATAATGTAGGTGCCTTCGAGACAAGGGTGTTTATATTACTAAGCTAGCGCGTACCATCCTTTGCCCACATCTCCACTTAATATTAGTTAGGGTCGAGGTAAAGCGTTAGTTTATTAAAAAAAATACCAAATGTAAAAAAAGCCGTTGCTTAAAGAAAGGCCATAGTAACTTGCCTTTTCACTCTTGTTTTGTAGTGGTTACATTATGATCAGTTGATCATATATAAGTAAATACCATTCAAGGATTTTGGTCCTTCGAGCATGATATCAAAGACGGATTGTACTACTTCTCAATTCTTTTTTCTTCTAATTCAGTTTTTCAGTTTTAAAAAATTTAATTTTACCTGGGCGACAAGTGCTCTAGTCTCTTGCGTGGCACTCTGTAGCAGCATATCTCGGAACTCTTCAGGAGCCGTCAGGCCGAAGCTCTTGGCATCTTCTAGTAACTTGTCAACAGCAATCAGCCCGCCCTCGCCCGCCAGGATCTCTACGCCAGTCGCACACCACTCGTTTGCCTAAACAGGTGAAAATATTAAATTAATTGATCAGAAACAAATGTCGACCTAAATGACATTATTGTCTTCATAAAACCGAAACACAATTTAGTACCAAAACTTCTTCCATCTAATTAATCTTACTAATATTATAAATGCGAAAGTTTAGATGGATGGATGGTTAGACGTTTGTTAGTGTTTGTAGCATAAAAGGCTGAACGGATCTGGATGAAATTTGGCATAGATGTAGAGCATAGTATCGAAGAACTTATAGGCTGTTTGTTTTTTTTTTTATTATTTCACCTGAACGGAGTCGCGGGCGAAAGCTAGTAAACCAATAAAATGGTAAAATCTATGTAACTAGTATCATCTTATCACATTATTTAAGTTGAGTGGGAATTTTAGTTAGGAACAAATATAAATATTACCTTATCTATCCTGTCCATTAGTTCCCGCGCTTTTGTCAACAGTAAGTTCCGTTTCTGTATCTTATCAATAAGTAAAGCGCTCGTCCGTCTCAGCTCCTCGCATTTAGATTCTATATGGTCTACGGAACTAAGTGGGTCCTTCATTAAGGTCTCGCCTACAAGCGATTTAATTTGTTTAGAAATACAAGTATTTTAAATAAAATATTTACGACTCTTTTTATTTAAATGCCACTTCAAAATTATGTAGATTTTAGATGAATATTCCCCAGTCTGTTAGTTATGAAATATACTTTTTTAGTATTATAAAACAGAAAACTAATCCTTACCATCGTCAATAACCGTTGACGCAGTATCGAGATCGCAATTACACAGTTTCTCGAAATCGTTAGCTTCCTGAATGAGGTTCTCAACTCTGTTCGCTGTCTCTCCGACTTCGGTCATATCGCACGCTGTCTTTAGATGATTATCTAGAGTTGCCTACGAAAACAAATAATCATATTTTATTCAAATAATAGTAAAAAGACTTTTTTTTTACTCAGAGAAATTATTCTCTATAAACACACCATAAACACTCAATAAACACTGCCTTATTGTATTTTAAAATACTGGCTGGTTTGTATGACATTAACATTATTTAAAAAAAAATGAAAATGAAGCCAAGAAAAAAAAACACGTGTTAAAATGATTAATGAACACATTTTCAAATGATAATATTTGTTTCCTTAAAAAATTATATGCTCTGATGCAATTGATTTTTAATAATTTAAAAAGGTTTTACTTAAATTTTTTTCATAATCACTTGACATAAAAGCCATATCCTCAACGTGCTTTTAAAAAAAATGTCTCCGAACCTAACCTCACTTTCGTAACATGTCATTTGCAAAAATACAGAAGTGTAAATATTAAATCGTATTATGACGCTAGAAATGGTATGTAATTTTCGTAAATGTAGAAAACCTTTGACTAATCATGCCTGGGTGACGACATGTTCACATGCATTTTGCATAGAACACGGTCAAAAGGAGTTTAAACGTAATATTGAGAATTCATTGACATGCCCGGCGTGCGGAAGTGAATTGCGAGATAAATTCGATGTGATACAAGCAGATCTTAAACCAAGTGAAACTTTCAAGTCAATAGTTTTAGCGGGCATGAAACCTGACACGATCATGGATGTGACAATGAGGGCAATGTCTTTTTGGTCGTACCAAATTGAACAGGAAACTCTGTATCAAGAAAGCTTAGCTAGACATTCTAAGGAGAAATTACAAAGTTTGGAAGAGGTAAACACACTTAACCTACAAAAATTAAATGCAGAATTGGAAACGTGCAAACGTAAAATAATCGCTTTACAAACGGAATGTAATAAAAAGAAGAAACAAGCCGAGGAATTGACTGCATGCATGGAAATCAATAATAGGAAGGTTCAAAAACTTCAATTTCAGCTTGATGCTTTAAAAAGAAAAGATATACATGTAGCAAATTATGAAATGACTAATCATAATGAGAAATTAATGGAGATTTCAGATCTGGTAGGTAAGAGAACAAAGTCTGAGGCTTTCGTGTTTAGACCAATGAATGATGGTGATAAATCGCAAAGCATTTCTTCTCCTTCAACGTCCATGTTTGATTTCCGCAACAGAAGCAAGCAACCGGATAAAAATAAATCCTTTAAATTCCGACCGGTGCGGTCTTAGTTTATAAGCAAACAGTAGATTATAAGCGTAATTACCTGCATTTGTTTAAAATTCAATAAAAATGTGCGAAATTTCAACCAGTGGTTTAATTTTGTGGAATGTTTTTGCCAGAAATTATCGAATTGTTTCTCAGTCTCTTCTAGTTGTACCAATAACCTGTAAAAAAAATTTAACATTTACTTTACTAAAAAAAAGTTGGTATAAATACTATCTAAAAAAGTTTATATGGCTTAATTTACCTCTCGACGGCCGCCACGTGACTTATAATATTATAGGTTAGATTTGGTTTCCTCACTTGCGACAGCAACTCTTCGCCCTGCGTCGTTGCTGTTGCCAGTTCTGTTTTTAAAGCTTTATACCTAAAATGCAAAAAAAAAAACATTTCATACTAATAATATAAATACAAAAGTTTAAATGGATGGATGTTTGCTAGAATTTGTAGCCAAAAATGCTAAACGGACCTCGATTAAGTGACATTGATGTAGAGGGTAATCTGGAAGAACACGTAGGCTACTTTTGTTTTTTTAATTCCACAGGCGAAAGCTAGTTCAAAATAACATCTGAAGCCAATGAATACAAATTATTGACAGCTCCACGTTATTAATACGCACATTCTTGTTTAAATTCAGTATACTTTTCCTAATATGGCAATTAGTAGTAACTTACCTAGTTTCTTGACAGTCTAGTAATTCTTTGGTTTGTGTAGGATCGTTTCCCATATCGCAGTCGACTATTTCATGCATAAAATCGTCTAATTTGGTAGATATTTCCTTCATTAGTGTAGAAAACTTCTCCAATGCCTGGAATTTTTTTTAAATCAGTTGCTGTCCACAATATGCATAGAGTTATATATGAAAATTGTTCTCAGAATATCATACCGGCGATCAGCTCAGTATAATATTTCCCAATAACAATCCACATAAGATTTTCAGTGCGCAAGAATTAAACATCATTGTTTTGTAGGCATTAACTTATATCCGAGTATTAAATCTATCACTTCTACTAATTACTCCACTTTTTCCCACCTAAAATTAGTCAGACGACTAAATTTTAACGGTATTTGAAGTTTAGGCGTAGGCTTATCATTTAAGACTGTTACTAATTCAAATGTCGTTTCAATGTTTGGCTGCTAGTTACAGAGTTATTAAAAAGCTGACTTGATCATTGTAAAACTATCCTTACAGGCATGTATTTAAATTTAGTTAAAATAAAAAGAAGAATTCGTAGTTCAAGGGTTAAGGTATTAGAGGCACAAGTAATTATAAATTTAACTAACTATTCGCTGTTGTATCCATTCAGAGTGTGAATACTGGAGTTCGCCGCCTAAATCCGGCGTCAGCTGTGAGCGGTCAAAGTGCTCGTATAACTCCTCGATGCAGGAGCACACGAGGACTCGAAACCTGAACTCCTCTTTGAACAGCTTGCTGCTGACTTCGGACAGCGCTTTTTGCAGGAAACTGGCTGGACGCAGCACGTACACTGAGTGGATCATGCCGGGGAAGAACTCCTGGAATTGATATAAAGACAATTTTATAATGATGGCAGTTTTGCTAAGAGCGGCCGCACAACTTTGACTAAACTATCGCACAAGTGTAGTGCGATTGTCGATTGTTTTATTTGTATAAGTAAAAATCGAATAGTGTGCGCATCTCCATATAAGGAATCAAAGCGAGACTAAGCAGTTGTGCGATAGTTTAGTTTCAGATGTACGCACGCTCTTAAGCTACATTTTCAAGGTGTGTAGCCATTTATTCTGTTGTTATCGAAATAGGTAGCTACTTAATTTTAAGCTTAATAGTTTTTTTTTATAATATAAGGTGGCAAACGAGCAAGCGGCCACCTAAATCCACTGAAATGGAAAGCGACCGCTGCCCATAAACATCCGCAATTGCAGATGCGTTGCCTACCCTTAATTGACGGAGGAAGAGACGCTTATAAAGAGGAAATTTTCCCTTTCTATACGTCTCCTCCACCGTCAAATCCACTTTTCCTTCCCATCTTTTCCTTTCAAGGAAAGGGAAAGGGATAAAATTAGGCCTCCGGCACCACACTCTTAAGACGAAACGCGGAATTGCTTCCACTTCACGCCTGTTTTCTGTGTGATCGTGGTATTACACCGGGGGAGCCGGCCCATTCGTGCGAAGATGTTAAAGCGGGCTCTACCACTGTTTTAGTAAATTAATATTTTTTGAGAAATTGCTTTTCAAAACTAAATGCAATATTACATTTTCATAATACAAAACCAATACTTACAGATATCCTAATTAAGACAGTCTTCACGGAATTCCACCTGTCCTTTCTGCGGTCTATTATTATGTGAAACCCCATTTCAGCTTCTAATAATCTGAAAAAGAAAAATTATATAAATCAAAAACCTATATGAATAATTATGTTCAGATTCATAAAGACCTTTGTATGTGCATCTAGTCATCGAATTTTTTTATTAATAAAAAATAAAAGTACACTATCAAACTAGACTAAAAACAATTTATCTAAAGTACACTCAAATATGGATTACATATTCTTTAACAGATGACATTAAAAAATCGTTTAAGTTTAGCGCCCTCGTGTTAATTGTAGACACGTGCTCTTTGATAACGTAAACAAACGCGTTTCGATTGATCTAAACACGGCAATGCCCTACATTCTGCAGCTATTATTCTTTTTTTAACAACCACTTTATGTTTCTTTACACCGCAATAGTATTCTAAATAAAAATAAACATAGAATTGAATAGATTTTCTTTGCTTTTGCCTTACTACTAGAGTAGTAAATATGGTACAAGCAAGTGATATTGTATTCAGACAATGCTTAAAAATTATTAAGGATCGTATACAATTTCATAGAAAGAATTTTTTAATTATTACTTAACATCGCGTGATCCATATTCAGGCTATAGGCTACAATTTTAACATCAATGTCTTTGGGTCAGTTTGACTGATGTAACACAAGTCAATGGTAGTCATTTGTTTTTCGGAGTCTGATAGTTCTATGTTCTCCTATACTATAAGTAAAGTACTCACGAAGGCACAGAGGTGAGGTAGAGTAGCAGACGCCTGTATTCAGCTGGGGAGAGGAGGTGGAAGTTGCTGTTGTCAGGGAAGGTGATGAGGGGCCGGTGGTCGCGCGCCAGCCCACCCGTCGCCAATGCGTACTGCGGCAGTAGTAACTCTCCCACGCCCCGCCCTTCCTCGCCTTCACTGCCACAGCCATCGCACTCCGCTTCTGAAATATCAAATTAACAGATAGGTAACAAAAATGGATAGAAGTCTAATCTCTCGTCTGTCACAATATATGTTAAAAACAGCTACCTCTTCAGAATGTATTTGTTAATTCAATTCATCCTCCCTTGTCATCACTATAGGGTCTTTACCAGAAAAGAATGACAAAAGAGAACGGGATAAGAACTACTTCTGCACCTCAAGGGTTAGCGCAAATGTTATTTCTCGCCTGTCTTCTGTAAGGTCGTGGTATTTCATCGGCCCAGTAACTAACTAGGGCAAAGAAATGTTTACCTGACCAATAAATAGAAATTAAAAATAGAATTTTGTAAATACCTATTTTAAAATTTATTTTGCTCACTCGTATGTTAAATACGTATACGTATACTATATAGTTCGAAATATTTGTAGCTTTGGGTATAGTTTTGATTAAAAAAATTCAAATGGAATTCTCATCCTGTTTATCTTTGTATTACACTTTGTTTAAATCAGGCAGCGGAACTATAAATATTATCACTTTGATTGTTAAACAACATATTGTATGTATTGTAATTGTAACTATAACAAAATTCCAAATAAAAAGTTAGCATAATACAGGAAAATAGTAGCAGTATTATTAATAAAAATGTGCTTTTTAATAATACGTTAGTTAATATTTCAACGTTAGAATATTTCCGTTCACAACATTTTTAATTGAAGGCGTTGAACTTCGGAATACAGCAAATTATATCTAAAGAAAACTGTTTACACTACGTCCATTAATTTCCTTCAGAATCAACGCTTACAAACAAAAGAAATTCGCTAGTTTTCGCGGGTGAGTAAAATCAATATAACAAGTTTGTGGCAATTCGGAGAAGCTCGATACTCGGCAGGTGCGCTAACTAGTTAACTTCGTAATGTCTAAACTTCCACTACGAGGCACTTAGAAAAATAACTGCTATGAACTAGGAAAGTAAATAAGCAAGAGAGAAAAAGTTATCAAAGGTTTGCTTTTATGAAACAACATCCCTTTGCGCGAGATTAAAAAAAAAAACATAAACCTTTATTGTTCCAAAATATACTACATCTGTGTCAAATTTAATCGAGATCCGTCCAACCCTTCATGCGGCAAACTCAAATAAATGTCTGAATTTTCGCATTGACAATATTAGTAAGATTTCAACGCGTTTTTTAAAGTACCTACTTACATATATTATTACAAAACATTTAGATACATTTACGAAACTCCGATAGTAAAATCCTTGCAAGTTATTTTTTAAGTAAAGGACCGCAGGATCATGGATTATCCTTTCGCTGTGTAGACAGATGTAATTACAGTGTATACTTGTAAGAAACCCTACCACTGAAAGCCGTGCCGTCGCGAATAGGGTGGAATGCGGAAATCACTAGAACAATAGAACAAACGTACCGGAAACGAATGATGTTTACTATCTACTAAGTATCTTTTTTATAGAAATGTCGAGTAAAGCTATTAATACTATTTAACTTAATGTAAACGAACATCTCAATAAGGAGAGTATATATAGAGTATATACACTTATACGTCGTGCTTTAGGCTATATATTTTCACGCCATTAAATTTAGGGGGTAAATATTTTGGATAAAAACCCTAATGTGAGAAAGAGACCATAAGTTGCTGCCAACATCAAGGAAGCAAGATTGCCATAGTAAGGTAATACGTATTTTGACATTTGCAATTGAGAATTTGACAAATGCAAACAATAAATTTATATTTTCGTGCGGATGAAGCCGCACGCGAATAGCTAGTGTTTAACTAAAATTCTTAAGGTACTTACTTAATCTTTACCTTTGATGACAGTTTATTACGATTTCGTTTCTGTTAATTTTGTACAATCATATATCAATGTCGGATACAGGTAAAGAATGCATTATGGTAAAGTAACGAGGTAACTTTGAAAGGTAGCATTTATCATAGAGATGTATGAGAAGCTATGCGGTATAATCTATCAATATTGAAAATGTGGTTTTAAATTTATTGCGGTACAAATTTAATATTACTTATAGTATGATTTTCTATCCGTTTAACACCAAAAAGGCTTTATTGTACTAATGTTTTACATATAGTTTACTTCGTATCACATAAAGAAACATTTCCCATACTACGCGAAGTTTCTTATTCACATTTTCATCCTTAAAGAGAAATGTAATTTAACTTTATAATCCAGTAGGCCACTAAATGATCGCGTGCTACCTTTTAATCAATAGGGTATACAGCAAAATTATATTACGTAAGTACTCTACGAGAAATTCACCTATATCTATACTACTCGTAGTCTATACTGGTATTATAAAGAGTAAAGATTTTTATTTTTATATGTATAGAAATAACTTAAAAACTACTGGGCCGATTTTAATTCTTTCACCGTTAGAATGGTAATTTATCTGTAAGGTATTTTTTTAATTTTACGCGGACAGAGTCGAGAGCAACAACTAATTATACTTATATTATAAATGCGAAAGTTTAGATGGATGGATGTTTGTTAGAGTTTGTAGCCTAAACGACTTAACGGATTTTGATGAAATTTGGTATAGATGTAGAGGATAATCTGGAAGAACACATAGGCTACTCAATTTTGTTTTTTTAATCCCATGCGAACGGAGTCGCGAGTGAAAGGTAGTACTAAATAAAATGATTATTCTAGAAATTTAATTATTACTTAAATAAAATGTTTATATGCCAATAACAAGCTATAACAATGTACTTTGTGTTTAATGGTGTTGAAAATTAAAACCTTATTGAAACATCTCACTTGTAAAGGGTTAACCTAAAATAACATAACGGGAATAAAAAATACAATTCTTTTTCTAACAATGAGATAAGTTTCAAGTTCGGATTATCGCACAAGCAAAAAGGTTCTTGTAAATTGCTTTAGGGATTTCGTTTTAAAAGAACCTAAGGTTTTATTACATACAGGGTTTTATTTTTCTACACGCAAAATATTACTAGATATCGGAGTTAAGAAAGTAACGAAGTTTTTAATTGCACTAAATTGTGCTTAAAACATCTTAAAATTATAAAAATAACGCAAACTTTGAATTCAATGGATCGAATTTCAAAAATATGGATAAACAAGATGTAGCAAAGAATTTTGGGTGTAAAAACGTGCATCGACTATAGTTGTGATATGAACGTTTAGAACTAACCGGGAGATTTACGCTGTTTCTAATCTGAAACAGAATTTTAAAAGAAAAAACGGTCATTAATTGCTCTACTGAATAAAATTAACTAATACAAAAAATACGTGTGAATTTCGAGTATCAACAGTGGTAAATCGTAAACAATAAGAGGATGAGGTAATTAAGTCGTCTTGATTTGAATAGTTTGATGTAAAAGATTTTTAATGCGTTCAAAACTCAGATTTATAATATTTACTGATGTGCTTAGTACCGTGTATTTAAAAAATGCACATAATCCATTATGATTCCTCTCATTATCTTTAAAAATAACGGAGATAGTAACAATTTCGTTTAACGTCAATATTTAATAATATGTTATGTTTTGTCTTCTGTAGAAAATTGTTTAGCTAGAAAGAAATCATAATCTATCTTGTTAAAAAAATAAACTCATCTAAATGTGTTTAAACAATAACACTAAGTAAGTAGGCAAACATTCAGCACAATATTACGGTTTCCGAGATACATGGTAAACAAACACGTATTTACCTTGCTATGTACGTAAAGAAAGAAAACAACAGTAGGTAATCTCGCTGACGCTGCTGTGAATCTCAAATGAAAATGTGCTTTTTTTACTTTTACTCTTGTGTTTGAATATTCGTATGCAAAAGACGGAAAGAGATGAAATAACGTAAAACTTCTACGAATTAAATTTGGATATACAAAAACGTTCCGCATTAAAACTACAGAATAATTATGGTTTTAGTACTGTTACTCGGAACAGATCGCATTTCTTTAATAATATTTTTTTTTAGTTTCATTAACATACGAGCTGTCGCCCTCAAACTTCGGTAGCGCAAATTTGGACCACCCATTACGTAATTTTGACTTCGCGGACTTTAAAAGAAGTAGCCTAGAATAGGCCCGTTTATGTCATGTTCCCCTTAGTGAAAGCCCAGTCGAAATCTGCCCAACCGTTTTGTAGATTACACGGAACAAACGCGACTTGAGGACAGACAAACAGACAAAATTGTTTTAAATGCAATTTTTGTTATCAGCAACGCAAATACATCATGTTCAAGAAATCTGTTTTTTTTTTTTTGATAGAACAGACACTCCAATTTTATTATATGTATAGATATGTATAGAATATAGATAGATAGATGACGCGTATCTATAATCAGAAGGTAATAAATGGTTAAAACTATGACATTAAAAAAAAAATTGAATGTAATGTAGAAACTTTGCCATTGTCTTCTTTACTTCACATTATCTGTATGACTATGTTATGTAGGGCTTTTACATTATTATTGGCATACCCACATATACACCACAGATAACAACTAACTTAGACACGAAGTAGCAGTTATTGTACAATTTTAAGCGTATTTTTATCTATACTTACTTGATTTATTTTTAATAGCTATCACAAAACTTGTTAAACAAGTATTTGAATAACTGATACGTATAGAATGTTACAAAAGTGACCTTTAAATTAAGATATTAATTATGAATCAGTTGAAAAATCACAATTATATCTGTCTGATATTTAAAAAACAAACTTTACTTTCAAGACTTATAAACTGTCTTTTTAAAATGTACAGTAATATTGTTTTTGTCATCAAAGATTAAGATTAAAACAGACAAACGGATCTAATTAACGTATGCTTACGCTTTTTCGCCGACCACGCGGTAGCAAATTACAAGATAAACGTTGAGAACGTCAATTGCTCTGGAAACATTTTCAATTTCGCTATTTCCTGATGTCTTATAATAGGGCTACAATTAACATTATTCGCATAAAGTTCTTGATACTTTTTCTAGTATTATAAAATATCAAAAAACTAAATAATAGTCAAGAAAATTTAA